GTTTTTTCAAATACATTTTAATTCAGTTGTCTATGGTTAACAACTATGACAGTTTTCCCTTCCAAAACCGTAGGGTAGATTTTCCAGTATATATTGCCTCTGGATCTCACTGGTTTTACTCTGGTCTTCGGAGAGCGCGGGTACGCGTTCGCGTAAATTTCCTCCTTTTTTTGAAATTCCTGAGTGGCAGCTATGATGTATGTGTTCGTAAGTTTGTATGTGTTTGTCTATATTTATATGTGTATCTGTATGTGTATGTTTGTAAGTTTGTATGTGTGTGTATATATGTATGTGTGTGTATATCCAGACAGGAGATGGAGCACTTTGTGAAGATGATGCAGGGCTACATCACCACCCAGGTGATCCATGTCAGTTGGCAGGAGTTCCAGTCCGACCTTGCCCAACCCATCGCAGGACTGGACCAGCTGCATCAGATACACCAGAACTACATCAACAAGGCCTTGTCCAGGTGACCCATCCTGTCCTCTCAGACCATATCACTGACGTCTCTCATCTTTGTCCACTTCTCCCTCTTCTTCTTTGTTCCTTTTGTCCTCCCCTCCCTGTTCTTGTCTCCCCCTGTGTGTGTGTGTGTGTGTGTGTGTGTGTGTGTGTGTGTGTGTGTGTGTGTGTGTGTGTGTGTGTGTGTGTGTGTGTGTTTGCATTAATCATGCCGCAGCTAATTTCTCTTTCTGGAGATCAATAAATCTTATCCTATCTCATCTCATCTCATCTTATGTTATCAGTCTTGGTATTCCTTTTCATAGCTTCCTCCTCGTGAAATCCTTTAGCATTGTTGTGTCATCAATCTGTTCTAAGTGTTAGGACTGCCTCATAACCTGCATCACAGGGGACTTCTGTTTTCACAATATTCGAGTAATTTATTCCTATAGCAAATAAATGTATTACCTTTGAAAGCCTTTTTTTTTCAATATTAAGAAGCACTTTCAACAACTGTGTATTGTTGTGTCTCGTATCATACCAGTGCTTGATTCTTATGCAGGTGGTAAGACTGTGTCACTGGTAGGTTTTACTTCTTTATTGTTCCTCAGTTTTTTTCAGTCTCTTCATCTTGAGACTGTTCCTCAGGGTTTTCAGTCTAGTTGCCATGTTCTCAAGACTGTTGTTTGTAGATGGTTTGAAAGTGTCACCTGTAAATCCTCTCTCTCTCTCTCTCTCTCTCTCTCTCTCTCTCTCTCTCTCTCTCTCTCTTTCTCTCTCTCAATCCCTCTCTCATCCCTCCCCACACACACGCATGGCGTCGACCTGGGTGTTACACTAACCGCTGACCTCTTCATGTGGTTGGAGCTGTGCACCCCCCCCCCTTCCCCGCCATCTCAAGTTCTTTGATGTACTTTTATAAGTAGGTGCCAGATGCCGAACTTGTCTTTCCACGAAAAAGTAACGTTGAATTTCATATAACCGCTAAAAGTAACACATTTTCAGAAATAAGCCATGATTTGTTGTAGTTCCTTTTCTTTTCCTTAACTACTTCCTCCCTTTCCCCCCATTTATTTCAAGAATAAGGGTAGTGAAGGGAAATGCGTAAACAACTTCATTAAAAGAAAAAAAAAAGCAACCGCAAAAAGTAACAATGTGTGAGTTTGGTTAATTGCTTATTTCAAGGCCGTGAGAGAGTGACCTTATTGAAGGGCTGAGGGGTCTGTTCTATCCTAATATCCTATGGAACTGGACCACATGTGTGGAGAGTTAAGAAAGCCGTGTATGCAAATCGAATCAATGTTATCCAAGCAGCAATCCAGTCCAATGCCAATCAAAATAAAGAAGAACTTTAAAAGATAATGCCAGTTGGGAACATACAGTGAAGTATTTAATTATCAAAAACAAAGACACATAGATACCGTTGCAAAGCTCTGATATAAATGCAACTTGTATCGTTATTGCAATAAAGACGTCATTATAACATATTAATTCCATATAACCCCCATCGCTGCCAACCTCAACACTTGAATGGGCGGCCGAAGCGCTTGCGACATTGGTGTGTAAAGTGGTAATTTGAGTGAGTAGAGGGAGCACTGCCCGCACTCGCAGAACTCCCTCATAACCTTTGCACACACAGCCCTGTATGACGTGCATGAGAGGGAACCTCTCTCTCTCTCTCTCTCTCTCT